AACGGTAAACTATAGAAAGTTTAAAAACTTTGACTCCATCAAATTTCGTAATGATATTAGTCTACAAAATTGGAGCCATATTATAGAACTTGAAAATCCTAATGATATGTGGCATGCTTGGAAAACTACATTCAATTCTGTAGTCGATAAACATGCCCCACTTTGTACAAAACGTGTCAAGGCTTCTAAATCGCCTTGGATTACGTCTCACCTGAAGGACGAAATGCACAAAAGAGATATTCAAAAAATCAAAGCGATTCGTTCCAACGATCCTCAGGATTGGTCTTCATTTAAGAAAATGCGTAATTCAGTTAATCACAAAATCTTTCGTGCTAAAGAAACTTATTTCAAAAATGCTTTCTGCGAAAATAAAGGAAACCCTAAAAAGACTTGGAATATTATCAACGAACTTACATCTAAGAATCAAAAAACTGCTCAAATTACCAAAATTAATTTGAACGGTCACTTAATTAATGATTCTAATAAAATCGCTGATGCATTTAATGAATATTTTTCTAACATCGGCCCCAAACTTGCGGATAACATAGACTTCAATGAAGGCAACCGGTCCTACCATGAATATTTATCTGGTCAAAATACTAATACGACGTTCCAGTTGAAAGAAACAAATTCCTTAACAGTTTCTGTACTTTTGTCCAAACTAAGTAGGTCAAAAGCAGTTGGCTTGGACAAAATCTCCGCTAGATTACTTCGAGAGTGCCCTGATTTAATCGCCGAACACCTTAGTCTCATCTTTAATCGTTCTATTATCACAGGCATATTTCCCAATGAGTGGAAATGCGCAAAAGTTGTCCCAATTCACAAGCAAGGGAAACGTAATTGCGTTGATAATTATTGTCCGATTTCCATTATCCCTGTTGTGACTAAGGTTTTTGAAAGGATAATTTATGACCAGTTACATTTATATCTATCTGAAAATAAACTCCTAACTAATTGTCAGTCAGGGTTTCGTGGTTTACACTCAACTGTCACTGCTCTTCTTGAGGCCACCAATGAATGGGCTCATAATATAGATCATGGAAACATAAATGCTGTCCTGTTTCTTGACCTCAAGAAGGCGTTTGATACTGTAGATCACAAAATCTTGTTAGGTAAGCTTAATGCATATGGCATCAGTTTGATACTGTAGATCACGAAATCTTGTTAGGTAAGCTTAATGCATATGGCATCAGTTTGATACTGTAGATCACGAAATCTTGTTAGGTAAGCTTAATGCATATGGCACCAGTTTGATACTGTAGATCACGAAATCTTGTTAGGTAAGCTTAATGCATATGGCATCAGTTTGATACTGTAGATCACGAAATCTTGTTAGGTAAGCTTAATGCATATGGCATCAGTTTGATACTGTAGATCACGAAATCTTGTTAGGTAAGCTTAATGCATATGGCATCAGTTTGATACTGTAGATCACGAAATCGTGTTAGGTAAGCTTAATGCATATGGCATCAGTGGAGTAGCTGGAAATTGGTTTAGATCTTATCTTAGTGAACGTCAACAAATGTGTTGTGTTAATGATCATTCTTCAAATAGTCATTTTCTTCGATGTGGAGTTCCCCAGGGAACTATATTAGGTCCACTTCTATTTTTAATCTACATCAATGACCTGCCTAATTGTCTTGTACATTCCCGTGCACGTATGTTTGCTGATGACACTAATTTGACATATGCAAGTAATAATATTTACGATATCAATCATAACTTTAATGAAGATCTTGCCCATGTCAGTGAATGGTTATCAGCAAATAGGCTTACTTTAAACCAAACTAAAACTGAATTCATGTTGATTGGCTCCCATCAAAGGATAAATACTTTTCACGCAACTCCTTCTTTGGCAATTAACAACGTTCCAGTTAGGCAAGTCTCTCACACAAAGTCACTGGGCACACATATCGATGAGAAGTTGTCCTGGAATGTTCACACTGAAAAATTGTGTAAAAAAGTTGCTAGTGGCATAGGTGCTTTAAAGCGCATAAGACCTTTTGTTTCACCTTCCACAATGCAACTGATTTACAAATGTCTAGTCCAGCCATATTTCGACTACTTCTCAGTTATCTGGGATAGTTGCGGGAGTACTCGTGCGGATAAACTACAAAAACTACAAAATCGTGCCGCAAGAGTACTGACGTCATCCAGTTATGATACAAATGCCGATTATCTGTTTGAAATACTTGGTTGGAAAAATCTTGCATCTCAGCAATAGAATAGAATAGAATAGAAACTTTATTTCACGAGGTAAAACGTATTAACCGTAAAAAGTTATCTAACATACGGCCCTCGCACTATTTCAGCGTAAGATTATTATTATTATTATTATTATTATTACTATTTCAGCGTAAGATTGCCAAAGCTATCATGATATATAAATCTGTGAATGGCCTTGCATGCACCAGATTACCTCTCCGAAATGTTTGTTGATGGCAGTAACATTACAAATTATACGTTGAGAGACACCACCGGCAAACTAGCGATACCACAACCGCGTACAAACTATTTGAAAAATAGTTTTAGTTACAGTGGTGCGGTACTGTGGAATTCTCTTCCTATAGAATTACGGCAGGCTAGCTCTTTACGTAAATTCAAGGCTGATTGTAGCAACTTCATTCGATAATTTTAATATTTTTACTCCTATCTACATTATTAGTTAATAATGCACGGCAATCATGGAAAACAGGTATTAATAATGTATTTCCATATTTTGTTATTTGTAATGTCCCTTGTCTATTTTATTGTAAATCCTGATGAGTCTACCGTGGTTAAATAAAGTTCACTTACTTACTTACTAACGTTGTTCTGACAAGTCTGTGACATGCTTGATATAACAAGATTGTTACAATCTTGTGTTGACAACCTTGTAACATCCTTGTTATATCATGGCTGTAACAAACTTGTTAGCACAATCTTGTAACAAGGCTGATAATGGCATCAAGCTTGTTACAAGTTGTTATAACAGCTTGTTTCAAACTTGTTACAACAAACTGGGAACAAGCAGTGCGAGCACAACTTGTTGACAGCTTGTGAACAGACGTGTAACAGCTTGTTTGCAGACTTGTAACAACTTGTGCGTTTTTACGTGTGTAGTCTCCCATTATTAGCGACTGTTTTTTAGTCGCGTCCGTGTCGCAGATTTGGTGCATTTTAGACTAGATGTGCACACTGTAACGTTTCCGAGCGTTTCTAAAATGTCGTTTCCAATTTTGTCAGTTTGACGCTCTGTCCACGGAAACGATTTCACTGCATGCAAATGTTTGTCTAGTTTTCTACGCATACCTACTTAGCGGGCTGTGCCCTCACGTAAGGTATGCTTACTTTGGCCAAGAATTCCTTTCCTCAAAATTAGCCAATCACAGCTTTACCCACGAAAATTGTGAGGCTTGACCTTTGACCTTGAGGCTTGGGTCGTACATATCTTCATTTGTACGTATTCATATTCATATCTTAAATCGATTATCTGCGAGAGCTGAGAGATATATTTGTTATACATATACCAGTCTACAGATTTACAATATGGAACAATTGTAAAATCTGTTAGAATTTGTCGAGCTATTGCAGTGAACAGACAGTGTAGTAAAATCTAACAATATCACCTAAAATATTTCGCGATGTTTTGATTACTTTACAAGCGTTTGCAGCCAATTTCAGGTGTAACAACGGGTAATATATACTGGACAAAGACGTCAAGACAAAGTTATAAAGGTACAGTGTACACTACTGCGGGTGTAGATAATAGATTTATAAATACTAATTGAAGATTACAGAATTCAGCTTATATAAAATACTGAATTGATTCATTGCATACTTCGGTTTCTAAGTTTGTATATGACTAGCCAGTTTATAAAGTTTAATAAAATCGTAATTACAAAAGTCGCTCTGATATTGAACGTTTGTAAACTTATAGTATATATTGAATATACATGTCGTCACGCAGTCGCGTCAAGTTCAAAACAAGTATTACCACTGAAAAGTTTTATATACATTTAAGCCTTCGCCGTACATTCGTTGGAAAAATATTCAATATTTTCTGGCTTCGACTGCTATTGATCAGAAAACTCGATCTGTTCACATTTATGGCCATTTAAATACGTATATATTATTATTCGATTATCGCTGACATTCAAAGTAGGCGTGTCTAGCGTATTTGAATGCTATTGGCTAATGGAATACAATGGGAAGGCGATGGCCAAAGTAAGCAGACCGTACGTGGCGGGCCCAAACCCGCTAAAGTAGGTCTGCGTAGGAGAGTAATGTTTGTCTCGACAAAAACTCCATCTCTCGCGGCTTCTTACTTTCTCAGATCACCGTTTATTTTCTACCAGATGGAGTCATTACTTGTCAACGAGTTTCCTAAAATGTCCTCTGTTCATTATCCCCGAGCCGACGACGAGCCGATAATTTTTCCGGAAAATTTTTTTGGTACTAGTCGGGCAGAATCCCGAAAAGTCGGGCAATTTTCTTTCCGCCCCCCTAATTTTTTCCTTCCGGTACGCCCATGCTAGTCTTTCACACTCTGCATGCATGAAATAGATTAATCTATAAACTGTTGTCAAAAAACAGTGTCAAAAATCTCAAAACAAAATCGCTCGGCAGCATCTTAACCTTGCGAAGATGACGTAAAAGTGATTTTCTTGAACACGACTTGGCTGCTAGGAGAGATACCCGATCGGAATAAATATGCCACTGAAACATTAGTAAATGCATGAATGCTTTATTGTAGCTTTATTGCAAACAGTAGCCGAGCTCTCAGATTGCAATATCATTGCATGTGTCACATGTGGATTATATGCAAATTAGTATACAAGCAGTAGTCATTTTGTCGCCAATTTCTGGTACTGAACAATATCCCATTTTATCACTACACATAATCTAATTTATCACTGCACAAATCTCATTTATCACTGCACAAATTGGTTATCACTGCACCTTAGAATAATCCCTGAATTAAAGGCAGTTCAGTTTTATAACGAACACTTTAAAACGTTTTGCGAAGCGTTTGTCGTTGAATTTTATTTTAAATTGAAGCTTATATTACGTATAATAACATACCTAACATATATATGTTGGGAAATTGATAATTTTGTAATTAAAAGTGATATTTTTAGGCGATTTTTTATTTGTAAGAATATTCTTAAAAAAATATCGTGTTACAATGACAACTACTTTAGATACTTCATGTTCAGAAAATACAATGGTTTTGTCAGCAAGGCGAGGGTTTCTGCATGCATGTGTTTTCTAGTAATAAAGTAAACAGTTTTATCATGTATGTTCAACATCACCGATAAGAAGTCTGTCGTTCCTTCGAAAGCAAAACAAATTTTGAATCGTTCATAAATCATTATACACTTGAAATGCTAAATATTTTGTTTTATCTGTTGCTAAAGTTTTTAACTTAAGAATTAATGATACCAATGAAAGATCTAAGCTTTCAGGAAACAAAGAATATAATATTTTGATGTTAATTAAGCCGCCATCTTTAATTTTTAGGCGCTTCTCCGAAAACGTTTTTAGCATTGAAAACGTTTGTGTCACAAGACGTAGTTTTCATCCGTTTTTGTGTGGACACGGCTTGAAAACTACACTTTTTGAAAACGTTACAGCTGAAAACGCTCGAAAACGTTACCATGTAGTGTGCACATATTAGTCTTTAGCCATCAGATCACGGCACTTTTGGTATACTGTAAGGGGGGGGGGCATGTAAAGATTCGGGCTTACGGATCGAAAGCTTTGCAGTAATAAATTTACGTGGTGTTTCCACAAACAAAAATTATTATATAATCAACTTATCTGTATTTAGTTTGTTGTTACATTGATATTGTGTATATACTAGAAAATACATGCATGCAGAAACCCTCGCCTTGCTGACAAAACCATTGTATTTTCCGAACATGAAGTATCTAAAGTTGTTGTCATGGTAACACGATAATTTTTTAAGAATATTCTTACAAATGAAAAATCGCTTAAGGTGGCTCGATATAGTTATCACAAAAACTCTGCTCAAGAATCGCGAACTCAAAACCGGGTAACAATTTTTACGCGCAGGTCGCGGAAACTGATTAACAAAATGAAAGAACTTCCAAAATGACTTGACGTGAGCAGTTGCTCGCGCCATATCATGCCATTGCGCGTGTTCTATAGCGTTTTATATCAATTGCTGACGTCATTAGAATTTTCCATCTTAGAAAAACAATGCGCTATATCTCTTTATTTTGCCTGGTGACCTATGTTCAAATTTTGCATGCAGTATTGCATCGCTAAAAACTTTCATCATACAAAAAATAAAAAAATTCTGTAATGCCAAAAAAAAATTACAGAAGAATATGACATTTTCGCATTTTCCAAAAAAATGGCATTACAGAATTTTTTTATGTTTTGCTAATTGTTAGCTTTTCGTCTAAGTAAAATAATGCAAGAAAAAAAATTGGGGGTCACCAAGCTTTTTTCCCAACTATACGAGAATAGAGGCCATTTTGGAGTGAATTTCGTACACGTATGTCGTCATAGCAACGAACTATCTGTTACTATAACTAATATAATTTGAAAGTAGAGATATCAAAATATATAAAAAACCTAATATCTGCCGAATAAATCCTAAAAATGCGTAGTTTGAACATGTCAAAGTGTTAAACACCTGAATTTCTGAAAACTGTATCGAGCCACCTTAAAAATGTCACTTTTAATCACAAATTTATCAATTTCCCAACATATATATGTTAGGTATGTTATTATACGTAATATAAGCTTCAATTTAAGGTAAAATTCAACCACAAACGCTTCGCAAACGTTTTAAATTAAATAATAAAGTGTTCCTTATAAAACTAAACTGCCTTTAACAATTAAATGGCTTTAATTATCGATAAACTTTGAGTGTGCAATAAAATGATTTCAAATTCTCGCATGCAAATAACTTTGCTTTCTTTTTTATTTAAAAAATTCAATATAATAAAAAAGGGAACCAATATTAAAGATACACTGAAATTATATGCTGTCTTGTTTTATAGTTGTTTCATATACGCAAAGGCCGTCGGGTTTTATAATGGATAAAATCAATATTTAAAACAAACTTACCTTCGTTAACGTCGGCTCCCTTCTTTTAGCCGATTCTTTCGCCCTTTCTTTCTTGAAATTTACAAAATCTTGCAAAAATGCGAGCAAAAATGAAATATATTTGCAAGAAATTTATCAATCATCAAATCAAGAAATGTTTGTTATTTCGCTGTCGTCATGCAGTCGTTATAATGCAAACTTGAAATTGGACCAATCAGTGTCCGCTATTCATGACAGTCCGCCATATTTTTGAGATCAGTGAGGATGACCACCCACCGAACCACTCACGGTAACCCACGCCCGCGCTCATTGATGAACTTTAGACCAATGCTTTAGACTTGGCTAATGCGGTAATCGTTCCATGTTTCGCGCACCAATATAGTAAACGTTATGTAATGCCGGATATTATAGTGTACTGAAAAGTTAACTGGATACCTCCATACACGTATATACACACCGTAAACCTATACCTAACCTTAAACCTAACCCTAACCCCTAACCCTAACCTAACCCCTAACCCTAATACCTAACCCCTAACCCCAACTTATATTGGTGCGCGAAACATGGAACGATAACCGCTAATGCTTTCGTTTCTCCGGGTGTAAATAGCCGGGGGGGAATTAGTACCCTCGCACGGCGCTTCGCGCCGTCGGCTCGGGGATTAATAGGAAAAAATTAGCCAATTTACTCATGCTTGTGATGGCATACAAAGCAAACGTTCTTTCAAAACCGGGGGATGAAGTTGTAAAAAATTGTATAGTGCATTACAAAATGTTGAATTTCTAAGTGCAAGAAAGTTCACAACTTTGATGCGGGTCCTTCAGAAAGGCATACAAAACTTAAGCATTCTGCAAAGTCTGCCTTTTGATCTCACTTCACTGATCATTTCATAAGCTTTCTTGAAAACCTCGTCTATTCCTTCACCAGATACCGTTGAGCATTCTATATAACATGAAGCCCCAATCTTTTTTGCCATTTTCTTGCCTTCTTTGTGGAATACAAATTCACCTGCTTTTTCCTCGAAACGTAGATCTGTTTTTAAACCAAGCAATATTATTCGTATGTCTTTAATATTTCTACCACAATGCTCCCGTATTTCTGTCAGCCATTTCTTGACATTATTGAAACTCTCGCAAGAATCGATGGAGTAACACAGCACTATCACAGCTGTGAAGGAACAAAGGCCTGTGTACCAAATACGTCTTGTCTTGACATCCTCCATGCGTCTATCATCAATTAGCCTGGAAATCACAAGACATGGCTCTTCATGAAACAGGTGATATTTATAGTGAACATGTTCTCTAAATTCACTTGACTGGACTGGATAAGGACATGCTTTCATTTTCATTGCTTTGACAAGACTTGTTTTACCACATGAAACGTCTCCAACAAAATAAAGATCCAGATACGATATTTGTCTGCTTTCATCAATTCTGCCAGCATGCTCTAAAACAAGCGATGATAAAAGATGTGACATTTTAAATGGTGTTCCCATATCCCTGTTGGGACATTCCAAATTGGCGAAATTCATTGATCAACAAATGATTAGACCCTGTTTAGAAGTTACTATTCCTACAGTGTTTAAGACAACAACCAATAGTCAATACTGAACCAGACCGCGGGGCGCCCATAGGAGGAGGGCGGTAAAAAGGGCAATTTGCCCCTGGAAAAATGAAATATACATAGATACAAAATAATCAATGGCTATTTGTCAAGCTAAAAAGTTTGGGTGACTGTTTGTGACGCTACATAGAATAAAAACTGATAATAAACAGTCATATACATGCATTGAATGAGGTTTTTGTGATATCTAGAATTATTATACATTGTATAGTTGGTAAAAGCAATTTGATTGGCTAAGAGCTTACAGTTAAATCGCGCAATCACACAACTTGAGCCTGAGATGATTAGCAAGCGGTATTTATTTAACACAAATAAATGTATAATAAAACAATTATTGAATTCGGTTTTTGCGATATGCAAAACTATCAAGGTCTCGGTAAGCGTTATCAGCCTCGCCTTCGGCTCGGCTGATAACGCTTACCTCGGCCTTTGCATGATAATCCGCACGGCTATTAGTCGTTTTCACATTAGAAGACGGACAAGTCGTCCAGACGAACAAATCGTCTCAAAATCGTCTTTTAATCGGACAAATCATCAGATGTGAAAACGTGTCGGACAAAATTTTAGACGAACAAGTCGTCTGAATTTGTTCGACTACTTGTCCGTCTGTGAAGACGATTTTTGAGAGACGATTTGTTCGTCTAGACGACTTGTCCGTCTCTAATGATAATAGGGCTAATTTTAAAAACCTCATCCAATAATTGTTAATTATCAAGGTCAAGGTAACTAGGTAAGTGTTATCAGTCGAGCCGAAGACGAGATTGACAACACTTATGAGACCTTCATCACCGTTGGGTTTCCAGTGAAATTTATATAATAAAGATTAAAGCTATATGTGTGGATCATGGATATGTCACTCCATCGTCTATTAAAGTGAGAATACTTTCTGACGAATGTGGTATACTTTCTCTTGTTCAAGATATACAACTTTAGAATGTGAAGGCAAGAATATGGATGATCATCAAATACTATACGTACAATATAATGGTAAACTATGTGGCTGAACAAACCAAGATAATTTACTTATTACAGCGATGGCTAACGCTTTCATCGAAAAGCTGGAACTGTGAAACATTCACGAGATTGACAACATTAGCAGAAACATTTATGAACAATAAAGATATTTAAGTAATTTTTTTATTCCTGGTATTGTAATTTTACAGTAAACGTAAAAGCTATATGGTGGATAATGGATATTAGTATAAACCTACTAGTAGGCTATCACATTTCGTGCCTTCTGATTGGCTACGCTACGAGTAGGCTATTAGTGATAGCCTACTAATATGAGAAAATTCAAAATGGCGGAAAATTCGCGTTTTGCACTTTTGCCGAAGTGTCTGATGATTTTTTGGACGACTTGTTGAACAATTCTGTACTAAAACCCCCCGAAAAAAAGCAACAAAAATATGGAATGGCAATTTTTAACGGTAAGAAAATAGACAAAATAATATACACTCAATGAAATTTTAAAATTAAAACTGAATTTTGTAAAACATTTTACGCGAACAAAAACTAAAATATTTGTTTACCTTTAATGGTTTTATAATGTTTTTTTTTGTGTATTTTTGTGTTGTGTTTGCCGCCCAGTTGTAAATTAAAGTTAAAGTTTATACTAAAACAATTAGACAACTCGGCCTCGTTGTCTATGAGCAAATAGTCAACTCGGCTTCGCCTCGTTGACTATTCGCTCATAGACAACTCGGCCTCGTTGTCTGATCGTTAATTATGTCACTCCGGCCATCGTCTATTAAAGTGAGAATACTTTCTGGCGAATGAGTTATATTTTCTCTTGTTCAAGATATACAACTTTAGAATGCGAAGGCAAGAATATGGATGATCATCAAATACTATACGTACAATATAATGGTAAACTATGTGGCTGAACAAACGGAAATAATTTACTTATTACAGCGATGGCTAACGCTTTCATCGAAAAGCTGGAACTCATGTGAAACATTCACGAGATGACAACATTAGCAGAAACATTTATGAACAATAAAGATGTTTAAGTAATTTTTTATTCCTGGTATTGTAATTTTACAGTAAACTACATAAAAGATTTTGAAGTAAATATTTCGTTCTATGAACGTTGTGTGAACGTTTCGCTTCAATATATTTACGTTTCGTAAACGTTGTGTGAACGTTTCGCTTCAATATATTTACGTTTCATAAACGTTGTGCGAACGTTTTTTCTTACGTTTTTCGACAACGTTGTGACAACGTCCCCTGGAGTCGACAAAATAACGTCGGGCGCACGTAAATTGACAACGTTATCGCAACGTAAACCGAACATTATGACAACGTTGATACAGTAGGTACCGTCTCTCAGGCAGAAATCGGGCCATTGATTCAGTACTTGCTTGTCACCTGATGATCATTATTGGGTTCAATTGAACCATATTAACTTGTTTGTAAAGATCCGATTTACCTTTGACTAAATAGTATAAATGTTGTAAATTCTCACAAAGTCAGAGTAAAGTCGTATATCATATATACCTTGATAAAACGCAGTTCTATCGGCGGCAGCTGAATAGGATGATACGAATTCACAATACAAACACATTCCAATATCACCACACACTAGTAAAACCTCATGCGTAAAACCTCGTTCTTATACGACAGTTCTCCTAAAAATAAACTTCATTCGATTGGTTTGTTTTGTGAGTTGTGCTCCGATGTGCTATGTCACAATTGCCACGCCACTCAACTATGACGTCAATGTCAAACAAAGTATGGCTGTTTGACAAAAGTATACGTGGCGCCAACATGAGCACAATATCCTGTATGCCATTTAGCCAAGATTAATTAATAGGTTAATAATTTGTGATACGGGAATATTAAATTGTGATCTGATCTAAAACGCCACACGAGTCAGAACACGAGTGACCACAATTAGTGAACACGAATGGACACGAGTCACACGAATGAACGCGAATGGAACACGAGTGAACACAAGTGAACACGATTGAACACGAATGACGAATGGAACAGTATATACTTGCAAGCAAGATGACATACCGCAATATATACTTGCAAGATGACGTACTAAACTACCAAAAGCTCTTGTTGTTGAACATACAGGCCTGATTCCACGGGCGCTTTTTCTCGGCGAAATGCGAAATATTTCGCCTGTTTCTTTTGAATTGTGAGCAATCAAGTAGAAATAATTTATTCGAGTAGTCTCAATTCAAAAGAAACAGGCGAAATAATTCGCATTTCGCCGAGAAAAAGTGCTCGTGGAATCAGGCCTTAAGAACCGTAGACTCTGGGCACGAGATTGTACACCACTGTAGAACGCATAAAAATTTGGTATAGTTTAATCGTACAGATGTAATATAGGCATTCATTTTCATGTTGTTTTATTTTACTCTTGAGAGCGAAGTGTTTTCTGTCTTTTGAAAACAAAAACTGCAGTTATATTATTGACACTATTCTCGCTTGCTTCATATTTTAGAACTTCCACTTATTAATATTTAACTACCACTATACAGGGTGTATCAAAAAAAAGGTAATCGAACTTCAGCGCGCTATTATACGTGAATCACTCGGCGTATGAACAATTGGTTTTCATATTTGGAAAGATCAGGCTTTTAGCTATTGAATGACATGCTTTTCATACCAAGTGGAGAGAAAATAAACATGTACGAGGCCGATTAAAAATGTTAGTCAAAATCGCATATTTTCACCTCTGTGCCTAATTAAAACAATGCATAACAAAAGAAAAAACAATTAATCACGAACGTGTCGTAGCTTAGCTAAGATTTATTCCTACTTAATAATTAATTATGAATATGTGCGTAGTTAATGAAGTGAAATTCATCAACTTAAGTACCAAAGGGAGTTCATTTTCAATGGTTTTAGACCCAACTCTCAACGGTGAAAATATGCGATTCTGACTAACATTTTTATCGGATTCGTATTTGCTCATTTTTTATCCATTTGGCATGAAGAAGATATCATTCAACAGCTAAAAGCATGATCTTTCCGAATGTGAAAAAATCTCGTTCATACGCAGAGTAATTCAGATACAATAGCGCGCTGAAGTTCGATTACCTTTTTTTTTATACACCCTGTATTAATATTCAAGACAAGTTGCTGTTAACGTTTTTGTTAATGTTTTGGGGGAGGAATATGTTTGATACAGTTCAAATTTGGAAAATAAACCATTGCATAGTTAGTTGTGATATTTCCGTAAGGGAGCGGTCATTATTTATGGCGGGGGATGATGGCACCGAAGAGAAATGTTTTTCTTAGAAAAAAATTGGCTGACCAACAATTAAAAAGTCAAATGTTTTTTTACCAAACCGTAAATATACCCTGGCGGCAATCGGTATAGTCAGAACAATCAGTATATAGTCAGAATAATCAGTATAGTCAGAATAATCAGTATAGTCAGAACAATCAGTATAGTCAGAACAATCCGTATAGTCAGAATAATCAGTATAATCAGAACAATCAGTATAGTCAGAACAACCAGTATAGTCAGAATAATCAGTATAGTCAGAACAATCAGTATAGTCAGAATAATCAGTATAGTCAGAACAATCAGTATAGTCAGAACAATCAGTATATAGTCAGAACAACCAGTATAATCAGAATAATAATAATAATTTATTTAAAACTGATTTTGTAACCAGTAGGTTAAATTACATCAGAAATTTACAAAATTTGTATCTACTGTTAAAAAGTATTAAGTTATCGTTATATTATATTATTAAGAATATTAAGAGTTCAAAAGTAGCAAAAAACAATAGGCCTATACTTCTACTCAGTTATTTACTGTTTTCTTTGGAAATAATTTGAGGAAAAAACGATTTCCTAAAACGTTCAGTTCTACATAGGTAATTGTTATACTTGCATCTTGGTCGCATATCGTAGTCTGCTGTTGCTTTATGATGCAATAGTTCGCTTAGTTTATCGTTATTCTCATTCTTTTTAAAAAATTGTTCACATAATGTTTCTCTCCTTGCTTTTTGTAAAGGGATACCAGTAAAATTCCGGGCTTCTCTGTAACTCATTAATGGCAACAAGATTCGCAAAGCACGCCGTTGAATCTTTTCAATGTCTTCGCTCAAATACTCTTGGATGTTGAAATGCCAGACTTGGCAGGCGTATTCAAGGACAGGCCTAATAATAGTGGTGTACACAGTGATTAACGTGTTCGTATCCGCGTTTGATCGTTTCAGCACTCTCAGCATGTAGAGTCTTTTTCCTGCTTTTTTGACAACATTGTTTACGTGTTCGTTCCAATTCATATTATCCTGAACAATTAGTCCCAGAACCCGAGCTGATGATACACGGTCTACAGCAACGCCATTTATAATTAAAGGTGGGCATTCCTGTTTATCTTTTGCAAAGTCTATTATCAATTCTTTGCATTTACTGATGTTCAGTTTCATATTATTAACGATGGTCCAATTGTAAATAGTATCCACAAGTTCTTGGAGAATGCTGTTGGTGTCCGGTGTAATACTTATCAGTTATAGACCTGAAACGAGGGGTATTCCACAAAAAATTACCCTGAGGGATGAAATATTCCGAGGGCGAAGCCCGGGTAATATTTCATCCCGCCAGGTAATTTTTTGTGGAATACCCCGAGTGAAAGGTCTATAAATGGTATATTATACCGAACCTTTCAAAAATAAGTAGAAAACAAATACCATTCAATTAACTTTTAATTTCAAAACACAACTTTTGATAACTTTACATTTAAAAAGTCGAATTTCCCGCTCAAGCGTGGTATTCGAAGTCGAATACCATGGCCCCGGGTAAAACACCCAAGGTTCAAATTGCCTAGGTCATAGTATTCGCTGAAAAATACCATGGTCATGTGGTACAAATTTAGTTCTCTGATTGGACAAGCTCATTGTGAGGTATAATATTTTCAGTGAGAGTACTATCGTCGACGTATTTCCATCTGTTATTCCAGTCTGTGAGAAGGTCGTTTATCATAACGAGAAAAAGTATTGGCCCAAGAACTGTTCCTTGTGGCACACCTCCGTTTAAGGTTTGCCAATTTGATATACAGTTAGCTATCTTGACGCGTTGTTTGCGTTCGAAAAGGAAACTTCTAATCCAGTTTGTAATTGTCGCTGGTACCTTCATTTCATATAACTTGTACAGTAGGATATTGTGGTTTATAAGATCGAAAGCTTTCGAAAAATAAAAAAAACCCTTACAGCGGTTTTTGATGTATCAGTTTCATATAACAGGTGATGAACGAAGCTTAATAGGGCATGAGTTGTCGAAGAGTTTTTTAAGGAACCAAATTGTCGTCTATCAATGTTTTCCTTTATATACTCAAGAAGCCAATCGGTAACAAACTGTTCACAGGTTTTAGACAGGGTATAGGTGTAAGCGAAATGGGGCGAAGATCTTTGGTGATGTCCTCAGGCGAAGCTATTTTTGGAATTGGGATGACATTGGCTTTTTTCGACATGGTCGGAACAGTCGCTTGTTGGATGGAAGCATTAAAAATTGATGCAACAGGGGAAGCAAGTACATAAGCGTAGAACTTCGGAACCCAGTTTGGTACTCCATCAGGACCAGGAGATTTAGCAGTTGATATAATGGATAATTTATGGTATACCTCTTCTTCTTTAATGATAAACTCTGGTGAAATGTCATAATGGCTGTTTTCTGATAAAATGTCGATATGAAGACGATTTAAAGGAGGGATTTCTTTGGTAACTGAAACAAAAGCGTCATTAATATTTTCGGCCAGGGCTTTTCCTGACATCACCTGATTTCCCACGACAAGAGTTGAAAGAACTTTCTTCTTAGGATATTCTGATAACTGTTTTATTGATTGCCACCACTTTTTTGGGTTAGGGTTTAGCTTTAACTGTTCTAACTTTTTCTCAAGAAATGTGGATCTGAGCTTCTTACTTTCTGTTTACCTGATTTCGTAACTGCTGATAATGTGGACTTTTTCCATGATGGAATGCCTTTTGTCTGGTTCCGATAATTTTCTTAAATTCAGGAGTTACCCAAGGTTTGTCATTGTCATGTAATTTTACAGTTCTTATCGGAAGGAAACAATCCAATCCGGCATTTATGATGTCTTGGAAGAGGTCTAATTTTTGTTCACAAGAAATAGTGCGGTATAAAATGTTCCAATTAAAATCGGTTAACCACTTTCCAAAAGCAGTTTTTGCCGCATTATTTCCCTGTCTGATTTTTACTTTCGTGTGGGCGTTTTTAGTTGAACCTTCCTTATATCAGCATAACACTGAATTGTGGTCGCTGCGCCCAACAGGTGGGATTACCAAGGAGATGTTACAAAAGTCTGACATGTTTGTCAAAATTAAATCCAAAATAGCATTCCCTCTCGTAGGTTGTTTAACAATCTGTTTTAAAGTAAAATGCCTGAGTATTGTGGAAACTGGACATTTGTTAAAATTCCCAACTAATATTATGCCAGCATTTGGGTACATGGAGAGAGCAACATCAAGCTTTATGGTAAGGTGTTCGCAGGGCCGCCGAGAGGTTGGCGGGGGCCCGGGCCAAATTTTTTTGGGGAGGCCCCTATCCAAAAAAAATTTCGGGAAAAAGTTTTCTCGCAGAACAACCTCCCCCCCCCAAAGCCAAAAAAATTTGGTTCAGTGTACCATTTTAGGGGTAAAATATTTGTTTCCGGAGTAAAACATTTTTCCGCACGAGTACGTTGCAATTGCTTTCCAGGGACTTTATCTCATTTTTTTATGCCAAATTTCGGTACTTAGCCCAAGAAAACAGATATCTTGTCCTTTGCGCGGAAATATTTAATACACAAAAAAGACTGGGGCCCAATAAAAATTTTGCATGGGCCCCAGCAACTCGGGGCCCGGGGCAATTTGCCCCCCCCCCTCTCGGCGGCCCTGGGTGTTCGATTAGTGTGTTGTTGTCGCTGGAAGGTGGGTGGTAAACCACACAGACAACCAAACATGAGAATCCTCGGAACAGTTTGCGAGGTCTCAGGTAAAGCCACAGAGTTTCGAAACAAACATCTTGCAAACAAGTTAGCATTTTAAAGGGGATCTGTGACTATTTATATAAGCACACAACCCTCCTCCAGTCCTAGATTTTCTATCACGACGTATCAAGGAGTAGCCATGTATTTGGACTGCGGCGGCGTCAATGTTTTCGTTTAGCCATGTTTCTGTGATAAAAGCCAAACTGGCATGATTTAATTTAAGAATAGCATCTAAATCATCAACTTTCGGCAGAAGTGATCTGACATTTGAAAGGAAAAATGATAGTGGGTATCTTTGGGCATTTGCGCAACCTAGTCTCCAATTTTTATGGTTCAATATAGGAATTTTTATCAAATTTTTCGTGGTTACGAACCTTTCGTTTGTGTATGCAGGGGTACTGTGTAAACGATTATGTAAGTTAACTTTTTTGCCGTCTAGTTGTCCAAACTGGGATATTATTTGTTCTAGGTATTTGATCAGCTACGGGGTCAGTATATGAAATGCTTTGTCGGTCGTACTGCTCTATGGATGCGTGGGGCGCGTCAAACGATTGACCAGATTTTCTTGTCTGATGGGTGGTAATTGTGGTAAAAGGAAGGGAAACTCCATCAATGGTCGGGGGTAAGGGGGCCGGTGATTGGGGCGTCGTATGATTTGACAAGCATTCGGTTGAATTGGGAATAAAAAAGGACGATAGTGTTGGTTTCGATTTAAACTTGGATGTAGAAAATCACAATTGCGCTGGTTTCGTTCAATTGGTAGAGTCAGAACAATCCGTATAGTCAGAATAATCAGTATAGTCATGAGAACAACCAGTATAGTCAGAATAACCAGTATAGTCAGAACAATTAGTATAGTCAGAATAATCAGTATAGTCAGAATAACCAGCATAGTCAGAACAATCAGTATAGTCAGAACAATGAATATAGTCAGAATAATCAGTATAGTCAGAACAATCATGGTATAGTCAGAACAACCAGTACAGTGTCAGAACAACCAGTATAGTCAGAACAATCAGTACAGTCAGAACAATCAGTATAGTCGGAATAATCAGTATAGTCAGAACAATCAGTATTGTCAGAACAATTAGTATAGTCGGAACAATCGGTATAGTCAGAATAATCAGTATACTAGTCAGAACAATCAGCACAGTCAGAACAATCAGTACAGTCAGAATAACCAGTATAGTCAGAACAATCCGTATAGTCGGAACAATCGGTATAGTCAGAATAATCAGTATAGTCAGAACAATCATGGTATAGTCAGAACAACCAGTATAGTCAGAACAATCAGCATAGTCAGAACAATCAGTATAGTCAGAATAATAAATAATTATTAACAATTGCGCTGGTTTCGTTTAATTGGTAGAGTCAGAACAATCCGTATAGTCAGAATAATCAGTATAGTCATGAGAACAACCAGTATAGTCAGAATAACCAGTATAGTCAGAACAATTAGTATAGTCAGAATAATCAGTATAGTCAGAATAACCAGCATAGTCAGAACAATCAGTATAGTCAGAACAATGAATATAGTCAGAATAATCAGTATAGTCAGAACAATCATGGTATAGTCAGAACAACCAGTACAGTGTCAGAACAACCAGTATAGTCAGAACAATCAGTACAGTCAGAACAATCAGTATAGTCGGAATAATCAGTATAGTCAGAACAATCAGTATTGTCAGAACAATTAGTATAGTCGGAACAATCGGTATAGTCAGAATAATCAGTATACTAGTCAGAACAATCAGCACAGTCAGAACAATCAGTACAGTCAGAATAACCAGTATAGTCAGAACAATCCGTATAGTCGGAACAATCGGTATAGTCAGAATAATCAGTATAGTCAGAACAATCATGGTATAGTCAGAACAACCAGTATAGTCAGAACAATCAGCATAGTCAGAACAATCAGTATAGTCAGAATAATAAATAATTATTAACAATTGCGCTGGTTTCGTTTAATTGGTAGAGTCAGAACAATCCGTATAGTCAGAATAATCAGTATAGTCATGAGAACAACCAGTATAGTCAGAATAACCAGTATAGTCAGAACAATTAGTATAGTCAGAATAATCAGTATAGTCAGAATAACCAGCATAGTCAGAACAATCAGTATAGTCAGAACAATGAATATAGTCAGAATAATCAGTATAGTCAGAACAATCATGGTATAGTCAGAACAACCAGTACAGTGTCAGAACAACCAGTATAGTCAGAACAATCAGTACAGTCAGAACAATCAGTATAGTCGGAATAATCAGTATAATCAGAACAATCAGTATTGTCAGAACAATTAGTATAGTCAGAACAATCCGTATAGTCGGAACAATCGGTATAGTCAGAATAATCAGTATACTAGTCAGAACAATCAGCACAGTCAGAACAATCAGTACAGTCAGAATAACCAGTATAGTCAGAACAATCCGTATAGTCGGAACAATCGGTATAGTCAGAATAATCAGTATAGTCAGAACAATCATGGTATAGTCAGAACAACCAGTATAGTCAGAACAATCAGCATAGTCAGAACAATCAGTATAGTCAGAATAATAAATAATTATTGGATGAGGTTGAGGGTGATATCGAGAATTATCAAAGCCGAGGTTTGTGTTATCTGTCGAAGCCGAAGGCTACGAGGCGGATAACACAAACCGAGGCCTTGATAATTATCGATATCACGCGAAAATCGAGTCCAATAATTATTTTATTACGCATAAGAATGACTAAGGAAAATACTATAACTAATCAAGGCAAAGAAGCCAGACCAAGTCAGACGCGATTCTTTGTAAACAATTTTAATTAATAACATTTTAATAACGTCTGATGTCTAGAACATTCAACGGTTTTACTCATGCAGTGATATAAAAAATCAAAGCGAGAAACAACGTCAGTACAATTTTATAATTGAGAAGCATTAACATCTTGCTCATTGTCTTTACTGAAAAAAGTTAACACTACAGTTATGAAAATTAAATGTTTTTTTGTTTTCTGTATGAGTGTTTTGCACGATAAATTCTTCTTGAGAAAGGCTCAAAATAGGCGACAACTGAAACTGACTCAGATGCGTTTCCTCATCGCCTCCAATCTCGCACTCTGCTGACAGCATTGTTGACATTTTTCTCTTGGTAGAAATGTCCGTCTTGCAATAGCTTTGGATGTTGCTCTCGTTTTTATACCCACTTATTGCCGTTACGTGTCTAGCTTCAAAGCCAGATTTATCAAGAATAGTAACTGCCGTTGCTCTTACATAATGATTCGTATAAGTTTTAGATAGATTGGCTTCTTTAGAAATCTTTTTCATTTTATCTCCGAGCGAACGTTCTCCCACAACCATGTTGTCATACCAAACTTGGTGCGAGCTGTTGAAGCTTTTCTTTGCCTTTGGCCGTTGAAATAGGTATCCGTTAATAGGATTCCAATGCTGGATATATAGCTCGAAATGCCACGGGGCAGTCTGGACCAGATTTCTCAAGCATAATACCTCCGTCCAAACCATCATCATTTTCTCTTCTGTTCTTCGTCAGTTGTTTTGCGGACATATCTGTTTCCTGTGGCATCAGTCATCACCGAGAAGTCACTTTTCTTTAGCTGACGAAGATTTTGTCGTCGACGATGGAAGAATTCGCAGAAATGAAGCATCACCTCAAAAAAACCCTTTATTTTGTAGCGTTGCAGGGTTGTTTACGTCAAATATATACCGCATCCATACAGCTTTTGAAGATCCTCTTGACATATCGGTTTCGTGTGCTCGACTTTGGCGAGACCTTGCCTTTGCTGTAAGAAGTGCCATCTTCCTTTCGAACTTCGGCGTAAAATAGTTTAAGGACTTTCGCAATTGACTCTTTGTCTTGAGGTTCGCCTATCTTTTTTTCTGTTATATACTCGGTAAAAAACTTTCACAACTGTCTTCGTACCTCGTTTAGTGTATACCGCTTCCTTTCCTAGTGTTTACCGCTTCCTTCATGTCATGTGCACGTTAATAATCAGTATAGTCAGAACAACCAGTATAGTCAGAATAATCAGTATAGTCAGAACAATCAGTATAGTCAGAATAACCAGTATAGTCAGAACAATCAGTATAGTCAGAACAATCAGTATAGTCAGAATAACGAGTATAGTCAGAACAATCAGTATAGTCAGAACAATCAGTAATGTCAGAATAACCAGTATAGTCAGAACAATCAGTATAGTCAGAACAATCAGACTGAGTATAGTCAGAACAATCAGTATAGTCAGAACAATCAGTATAGTTAGAACAATCAGTATAGTCAGAACAATCAGTATAGTCAGAACAATCAGTATAGTTAGAACAATCAGTATAGTCAGAACAATCAGTATAGTCAGAACAATCAGTATAGTCAGAACAATCAGTATAGTCAGAACAATCAGTATAGTCAGAACAACCAGTATAGTCAGAACAATCAGTACAGTCAGAACAATCAGTATAGTCAGATTAACCAGTATAGTCAGAACAACCAGTATAGTCAGAATAACCAGTATAGTCAGAACAATCAGTATAGTCAAAACAATGAATATAGTTAGAACAATCAGTATAGTCAGAACAATCAGTATAGTTAGAACAATCAGTATAGTCAGAACAATCAGTATAGTCAGAACAATCAGTACAGTCAGAACAATCAGTATAGTCAGATTAACCAGTATAGTCAGAACAACCAGTATAGTCAGAATAACCAGTATAGTCAGAACAATCAGTAATGTCAAAATAACCAGTATAGTCAGAATAACCAGTATAGTCAGAACAATCAGTATAGTCAGAATAACCAGTATAGTCAGAACAATCAGTAATGTCAGAATAACCAGTATTGTCAGAATAACCAGTATAGTCAGAACAATCAGTATAGTCAAAACAATGAATATAGTTAGAACAATCAGTATAGTCAGAACAATCAGTATAGTCAGAACAATCAGTATAGTCAGAATAACCAGCATAGTCAGAACAATCAGTATAGTCAGAACAATGAATATAGTTAGAACAATCAGTGTAGTCAGAACAATCAGTATAGTCAGAATAACCAGCATAGTCAGAACAATCAGTATAGTCAGAATAACCAGCATAGTCAGAACAATCAGTATAGTCAGAACAATCAGTATAGATAGTCAGAATAACCAGCATAGTCAGAACAATCAGTATAATCAGAACAATGAATATAGTCAGAACAATCAGTATAGTCAGAACAATCAGTATAGCCAGAATAATCAGCTCGGACAACACCGGTGACCGACCGTTATATTGAACTCTGAATTCATAATAATATTATATAACATCGAATTGTACGTAATTTTGAAAATAATCATATGCATGTATCTGGTATAACAATTATGTTTATTCACAACTATTAGTTTATATTTTCTTATATTTTTTTTCTACAATTACGTGAAATTAATTCATAAGATAATCTGAACAAAATCCTTGTGTGTAGTTTTGAAAGCGCTTGTAGTCTTCCCTCAGTTCCTAAAAACACAAAATTGTGCTGCTAAATTGTGCTGTATAACTGTGCCAATTCCGAAGCCTGCTACATAACTCACACTACCAGTTAACAAGTTAGTTAGTTAGTTAGTTAGTTAGTTAGTTAGTTAGTTAGTTAGTTAGTTAGTTAGTTAGTTAGTTAGTTAGTTAGTTAGTTAGTTAGTTAGTTAGTTAGTTAGTTAGCTAGTTAGTTAGTTAGTAATTCAGTCAGTCAGTCCTTTATAGTTATAGTAAAAGTTAAACACTCCAACTGCTTGTTCATAGCAAGTCACTTAAACCCTGGGGTATGCTAATGAAATTCAACATGTTTTAAAAGAATAAAACTTACTTTTAATAGATGTAAAAACAACCTCACACTGTACTTACTGTGAAAAGATTTTGGTACTCTTCCTTTTCGTCTTTCTGCCTTTGAAAGTTAGATGTGAGATCTTTTAACCTGCGAACCAGGAAGATTATAATCATGAAAAACACAGTCAAACTACTGTATCTGAAAGCTATAGCTATCTATAAATCTGTTTTGCACTTAAAGTGTTTTATTTTAACCCATTGCTCAAGCATCAGCACTCTCCTCTTAATGGGCGTTAGACAGTCTAAGAGTAAATTCGGCGTTAGAGTAAAATAATAAAGTATATGGCGCATCTTCTAGTGTTCATTACAACTCAATTTGTTAACTACAGGTAGACACAAGAACAGATAGTCTGATTAGCCCATTGAAACTTTGAGAGCCAGCGCTCTCCCCTTGACGATTAAATATCGTCTGGCGTTAGACAGAGTAAAATAATAGGGTGCACTAGGGTGCAATGCAACTTAATGGGTTCATGCAAGTTAAATAATGTACCTTACTTTAATGTATCTATTTATGTAGCCCTAGTAATGGTAGACTAATGGTACGAGTACCATTTTTATCCGTACCGTGCCAAGTTGGGCATAGCGTAAACGGGTCTTACGTTTAATACGGAAGGAGAGGAATACTACCTTGCTTTTAATTCTGTTATTTCTTCCTTATGTTTTCTCTCCACTTCAGCTAAATGTGCCGCAGCTGTTCTTTCACATTGTTCTTTTGTACATTTCACTGCTTCAGATAACTTTCTTTTTCCCTCTTCCTAAATTCAAAACATGTTTGAGGTATAGTATGTAGTCAAAAGCACACGAAGCTCCTACGTGACAACTGGAAACACGTTATAAAAGTCCTATTTTTAATAAGTGCTTTATAACTCTAAGGGTAAATATTCTAAATTTGGGACATCTCGCTCGACAGAGCAGAATGTTGAAGACAGTTTTTGTTCATGTGAATTTCGAGCGAAAACTATCCACGTTTTAGACAACTGCACCCATTTTATAGCTAAACGATAATTCTAAATAGTTAAATCCCCCATGTGAAGACTGTAAAGCCAAACGAGCACATGGTCACCTGCTTTCCTGAAACCAATTAATAAACCAATCCACGGAAGTGTTTGTAATTCATCATCGTTCAAATCCACACCATATATATAAATTCTCGACATATACGAGCTCGTATACATAGTGTAAAAACCACTCTCACACTTGCCTTTTATATAGTTATTTTAATATAAAATAACGCAACATAAATTTACATGTTGTCCGTTTTATCCCAACTAACTTCCGATTCCCTACACGTGTATTTTTAATCGTCTCACCACGTGACAGCTCACGTGATTATAACAGAACCAATAATGTTATTAAAAGTAAATAAATGTATAATGTAAACGTCATGCACTAGATTAATGTTTTCTACATCCTCCCCAACCGGAAAAATTCGCTAACAGTTTAAATATTTCGCTATGTATACTGTTCGCGAATTCTCCGCAAGTTTTCTCCATCGATCGCCGCCTTCCTCGTTGGTCTTCTACTTCCTTTTCGCTCATCCGCTCTTGACTCGGTCTCAGTCGTGTTATGCTGTTCTGCGTTCTTATCGTTGTCATCCCCTTCATGCTTGTCGACGTCATCCTGGACGATCTCGAAAGGTATTAGCCTTTGTAACGGTCTGTGAACCGACGACTGAGCTCCACCCTTTGATAGAACCTTCAATTTAGCTCCCCTGACCAGTCCATCACGTCCTTTCACCAGCTGCAAGACTCTTCCAATCCTCCACTGTGCCCGAGGTGCTGGTTCATCCTCTTTAATCAAAACAACATCACCAACGGTCAGACCTCGCGTATTGGTTTTCCTTTTCCGGTAGAGGTTCATTTGTCTCAGCCGCTGAGTGTTTCAAGTGTTTCAACCGCTGTTTGTACTGTCCAAGGTTCGCCGTAAGTATGGTATCCGTGTTTTTCATCCGATTGCAGTAGCCTCGCCCGTACATCAGGTGGAATGGCGTCAAAGGTTCGTCCAAATCATCCTCGCTGACATACGTAAGTGGCCGATTGTTGATTGCCACTTCTACTTCGCACAAGATTGTCTGCAGCTCTTCGAATGTCGTATATGCTCTCCCGAGAGTTTTCTTTAAACAACCCTTAACTGTCCGGACGAGTCGCTCGTAAAAGCCACCCCACCATGGGGACGCTGGTAGAATAAACTGTTGCCGAATGCCTTGACATGACATGAATCGTTTGACCTCCACTGACTTGAAAGTCTTAAAGTTGTCGTTGATAATGACATCCGGCACACCCCTACGAGCTACAAATCTCCGAAATCCTCGCAAAAATCCGTCACTTGACATCGAGTAGACCAGTTCGAGGTGGATCGCTCTGCTTGTGGCACACGTTAGCAGTAGAATGTACGTCTTGGCCGTTTCTGAACCATCTTTCACAAACAACGGTCCAGCAAAATCCAAGCCCGTCGCTTGAAACGCGAATCCCGAATGATCGATTCTACACTGTGGCAGATCAGGACTAGCAGGAGCACACATCGGTTTTCCTTGGTACCGTTTGCAAATCACACATTTTCTGAGGACTTCCTTGACACTTTTTCTCCCTTTCACGATCCAGTAGTTTGACCGTACTCTTGCCAATGTCGACTCCACTCCGTGGTGCATACTCGCCTTATGCGCGTCCCAAATGACTAATTGTGTGAAATAGCTTTCGTTTCCTCGTAATATCATTGGATGCTGGTCTTGGTACCGCAGATTAGAATTAGCGAACCGTCCCTTTAACCGTAAAAATCCGTCTTTGTCTTCGAACAAATTCAATGAAGCACAAACGTTAGCAAAATTTGATTGTCCCTTTATCAGAGATTGTTCTTCTTTAATCCACATGTGTAACGCTTGCTCGTATTCGTTAGCCGTTAGAACGTTCTCCGTGATTAAGTTTCCATGGTTCTTCGTTCGTTTTCGCAAATTGTTCAAGAATCTTATCACGTAACCGGTGGTGACAACCAACTTGTTCAACGAGCTATATCGAGTGCAGTCTATGACATCAGACAATGAACACGTTTCGCCTGGTATGTCATTCCGTGTCGCGTTGTTGAAAAGAACATCAGAAGAATGACTATCCTCTTCCACAACCTTCCCGCCCAAAGACGTTTGATCACAAAGAGTATCACTTCTCTCGCCTCTGTATGCAGAAGGTTGAGACAACAACACCGAAGGACCTACTAGTAAACCAACATCCTGAGAAACACTCAACTAGACTAGTTGATATCCTAGTGGGGGATATCTGCAGGATTCAGTTCTCCTTTAACAAAATTCCACCGATCACGATCGACAACCTTTCTAATGGTGACAACTCTATTCTCTACCCAAGGTTCCCAGCTTCGCTCCTCTCCCCTTATCCAACTCAACACGCCCTCGTATACCAAGTACAACTTCATTGATCAACTTGCTCAATAACAAACACCCCAATAGTTCCAACCTGGGAATAGTAAGGGTTTTTAAAGGCGCCACCTTGGTTTTCGCCGCCAAAAAAGACACTTTTGCACTTTTACTGCAAACAAACCGCAGATAAATGACCGCACTATAGACTTCTTTTAAACTATCACAAAACCCGTGAAGTTCAACTCGGATTCCGGAATGAAAATTTAAATGAAAAACAAACCGAGATTGTCTTACTTCCCGCAGAGATTTTAATTCTTCTAAAAACTTGTTCCAAATTGACGCAAATGCCGGTGGGATAAGGTCATCCCAATTTAATTTGTCTTTACATAACAACTGAAATATTGTTTTGATTCTGGCGGTGACGGGAGCAATCACACCCAATGGATCGAAAATCGAGGCCGATGCACTCAGTAAATTCCGTTTGGTTTGCTCCAGGCTCGCACATTTGCTCAAGAAATTATCGAACTGAAAAACAAACTCATCCGTGATTGTATCCCACGCAACACCTAAGACAAGCCTGATTTGGCGTAACTAAATTAGGCGACATTACCTCGACATAAGTAAGATCTTCCCATAGGGGTTGGGAATTAGGTTTGTCACCCATTGTCGATGAAATATATGCTCGAAGTTCTGGATCGTTAGTTACCCACTTACGTAATTCAAACCCTCACTCTAGCATAATGGCTTTACTAGTCTCATATATTTCCTTAGCTGTACCAACGCTATCGCCTCCACTAACCAAATCATCTACGTACAAATCCTCGCGAATACGCTCTACGACTGCATTCTCCTTCTCTACATACTTGCTAAGGTGGTGCCTCAACGTCGCGTTTAACAAGAAAGGACTACTCGTTAGTCCAAAAACTACCCGTAAAAATCTGTAAGTGATTATTTTTTCCTCTTTAGAATTGAGGTCATACCACAAAAACCGTACAAAATCTCTATGCTCCCTAGATATAGCGATGTTAAGGAACGCCTGCTTTATATCTGCTAGGATGCCTATCTTATTAAGCCTAAATCTCACTAGGATGTCAAATATCTTGGCAATAAGATTTGGTCCTGAATACAAACATTGGTTAAGTGAGGGGCCGTTAACCTGACACGAAGCGTCGAAAACTGCCCGAATTTTCGTAGTCTGCTTGTCCTCACGCACGACCGGTCGATGCGGGAGATAATGGACTCCACCTACTTCCCCAGCAATCTCATGTGAAGGAACGCGTTCAATTAGTCCGTTTTTTTTCGTACTCTGTAAAGATCGTATCATACTCCCTGAGAATTCCTTTGGATGTTAAACGCCGTTTTAGAGATGTTAAACGCCCTTCACATACATTAAAGTTGTCTGGCAGCTGCTCATGGTCTGGCTTAAAGGGTAATTTCGTTACATATCGGGTCCCATCGTGCCCTATGTCATTTTCAAACTGACTGACCACACAGTCACTGGAGGAGCCTATAGTCTCCACGCACCAACATTTATCTAAAACTTGTCGTAAAGCGTCTGATGTTTCTTTACATTCAACTGAGGTACGTAGGATATGGGTCTCGAAACAATGCAGGTCAGGAAGACCTGCCCCAATTTTGCCACTTACTACCCATCCCACCTTAGTTCCGCATGCTACTGGACCCGCCTTACTTCGCACAACCTTTCCTGTCATGAACGTGTGGTAATAATCTACCCCAATTAAAATTCCTACTGGGAGGTTTGGAGAATCGCCTTCATGATCAGCCAATTCCAAGTCCTCAAATTCTTCCAAATCATGCGTTTTTGAGATAAATTGATTAGTAAGAGGGCTGCAAATTGTGGGAACACATAAAGCCTCAACACTGGTGCACCTAGAATCAGATTTATTCTTAACTTTGACCTGAACGACATCTAGTCTCTTAACCTTGCTATCATTGTCCTGACAAAAAGGTCTTAATTATGACCTTTTCTGACCTGATCGACTTTAACTGCAACCTAGCTCTAACCTTATCAGAAATGTAAGACCGCTGGCTTCCACTATCAAACAAAATCCTGGTAGCTACTTCAGTACCAATATTCTCCTCATC